TGCATCAAGTCTAGACCTCAATTATTTTGTTACTTTTTAAAGGTATGACTCAGGAGTTGACTCTGGCAAAAACTGCTGATCTATGCCTTTTGCCACAATATAGTTACACCAATCTCAGAGAAACCATGCCCAATTTCTACAAAAGCTAATATGTAGCACTTAACCAAATGCATTGGAATGAAAGTCATGTTTTGCAAAGAGTTTAGTATTTAAAGAGAGATAAATATACTTCCCAATACTGAATTTTTCATTGTTTAGTTTTGTGATCTTAGAGAAATCATTAACTTCTATTAACCTAAAACTTACTCGTCTGTAAACTGAATCTATAAATGTCTACCTAGCTGAGCCGCCTTATAAAACTATGTGTATGAAGTGAGTGATATAAAGTGCCTCTTGTTGCTAGGAATTAAAACCTATTATTCTATCATTCTAATTATATTTACTTTACAATTTTGGAACACAATCATTCCAAGGTATACACATGGAATGAGAAAATGGAAAAATCAGCAGTTTAAGAAAAAAAATACATTACAAGTAGGTAGTGCCTTAATAATTTGATTCAATTCCTTCATTTAGTACACAAAGATCATCAAGATAAGTAAGTAACCTTTACAAGGTCATTGGTCAGAAAGTGGCAGACTTTTGATGAATGAAGATATCTTCTCTTGGAATTAAAAATGTCATTATATGCTTCTAATGAGTACACAGCAACCTCTTGATGAAATCCTATTAAGTAAAACACTATTGTCTTCTGGCCTTTCAGGTAACTAGATCCATCCCAATCTTCCTTTCTGATGAGGATAATCCACATTGAATGTACAGGTCGCACATTGCAGAGTTCTGGCTTATAAACTAAAAGACTTGGGATTTCCAACTAAAAAGTTTAGAAACATTTTGAATATTATCACATTGCTTTATAACAAATGGACACTGAAAAGTGATGCAATTCAGCCAAGGAACTGGGACTCAAAAAAGATTTCAAATGCAATTGGGCAGAGGAGCCGAGTCAAAGAAAATTGCAATTTAGAGGGTAGTTATTCATTAGGTCAAGAAGAAGTGGGGAGGGAAGCAGGTATTCATATAGAAACTAATTTCCTCATCAAGTCTGGAGTTTTGTTGGAAAATTATTGGTCTATCATTTAATTCACATGTTACAATTGTAAAACATACCAATCTGGTTTGGAAATAGGGAGACATGTAAAAGGAATGAAAAGAGAGTTCATAAGGATGGTACCATCAAAGAAAGTCAACTCAAAACAGTGGGAAACATTTTTAGGACTCTTCTAAATGAGCATTAAAGTGCTTCCTTCACTTTTGCTGACTGTAGATGCCAATGAAAGTACACACCACTACAACAAAAACAACAAATTATCATAAAAAACAATTTTAAGTTATTATTACTTGAACAAAGTGTATTAGTATAACTATGTACTATGGAAAGAAATAAGATTTTCCTGCTAAGAAGATCAGCGTGATCTTTGTTTACTTATACCATTACTTATTGATTGGGTTTGTGTGTAGGCTTCAGATAACTCAAGGTATAGTGGGTTTCTTTATTCTAAGATTCTTATGATTAACATCCTCATATATTTTGAGTGCATTTCTGCAAGATATGAAAAAACAAAAGTGAAGAATTTCAGTACTCTCTAGGTTTTATAATTTGAAACTAATATGCAGCAGCAAACTTAGATAAGATGCTAAACAATAATTTTAAGCAATTTTTGGTCAAAATTAAGGTGATTTATAATGACATAACGTCTGCTTATTCTGTAAAATACATAGTCACCCTATGTGTATCCCTGTGTATATCCCCATTCCTACTATATTTTGAATGCAAATTCTCTCTTTGTAACAGACTATCAACATATCTGATACCTGAAGAATCTCTATAGTAAGACATCAAGCTGCTGTTCTGTTGGAGAGCAGACATATATAACAGCTTCTGCTATTCAGCCAACTGTGAGCACTGGAAGGTTGAATGACCTGATGGGTATTTGATACTTTAGCTATAGAATAACTAGGACTAGAACTTCTTAGCTCTTGTAATTCCTGGTTTCACTTTATGAACTATCAAGTTACAGGGCTGCTTCCTGTGTCAAAGGAGTTGATATTATATGTAAAATGGTTTTTCATTTAACATTGGTCTGTTATATCTACATTTGAAATTAACTAATCCCCTTAGGGTAAACCCACAGGAAATGTTCTAGCTATTTAATATCCTAAAAATCTAGAATGGGGGAATTTCCGGAGTTTTTATTATTGGTAGGTAATTATATTCTCAGCAGATATTAGTAATATCTATATTATAGCCAGGCCTTCTAAACTGACTGCATTTTAATTTTGCTTAATCAGAAACTTATAAAATCTATAATTGGATCAGCATTCATGATTTCCTTGGAGATAAATTCCCAAGTTTTAGTCAGATCATAAGAACTAAACACACACACACACACACACACACACACACACACACAAACACACACCACAACAATAATAACAACAAACAATTATAAAAATATAAAAACAATTTAAAGTTATTATCACTTGAACAAAGTCTAGTAGTATAACTATGTATAATGAAAAAAACTTGGGTCAACAATCCATTTTCAAGACTACTTCACAAATGACATGAGATATATTTTTATTCTTTAAAAAATAATTTCTCCAAATAAACTTTAAAAATGACCATTTGAAAAGAAAATGCTATTATTCAAGATATGTGCATAAATGGCATTAAATGACATATAGATGTAAGTCCACACTCTATATTTATGAGTAAAGTGTGAACAATAGCAGTCTAGAGAAAATGTGAAATGTTAAGTCTTTTTCTTAGGGTTTTTTTTGTTTGATAGGTTCTGAAAACCACAATCTGTATTGAATTCAGGAGTAATTTTCTGCTGCTATCCTATTGTTCACCAAATTAATACTTTTGTACAGCATAATCAACATTTATCATTATTCCTTAAAAGCATTGACCCCAAAATATTTAGCAAGCTGTGTGCACTCAATTGGAACGTTGATTGGAAATGAGGAAATTAAACTGTCATTGATGAAATACTAAAGCTCATTATCACATTATCACAAAATTTCATTTTAAATGTTCAGAATTATCTCTATAACTGCATCAGCAATGATAAGCATGAGTCTTAAGTCCATGCCATTTAGGTTTCATGAGCATTATGAACACATATTAATCATAATTTAGTTAATTTGCAAAAAATATCTATCTCCCCACCAAGCTCTTAAAGTGCTATTTGAGGAAGCCCAAACCATAATCTAATGGAGTATGTTCTATCTATTTCATCTTTATTCTTTACCACCTTTGTGGATTTTCAAAGTATCTACTCTTCAGATAGACAAAAGTGCTAAAGGGAAAACAGTGATAGTTTACAGCCACACCTTTGAATCATTAAGACAATGCTGACCTCTAGTGTTCTAGAAGGTAGAGAAACTAGCTCAGAAACATACCTAACTTCCTTTTACTAACCACTCAGATCTTTTTCTAAAGCACCATGGGAATGAATTCACAGAAGAAGAAGGAAGAGAAAGAAGAAGAGAGGTAGAAGGGGAGAAAGAGAAGAAGAAAGGGAGAGGGTGAGAAAAGAGAGGAAAAATAAAGAAAAAATCAGATTATAACCTGCCCCCACAAAACCTGAAATAATTTCTAAATAAATTTCCTCCTTTCCAGTGAGGTTGGCCTCTTTATCCCTCCTTCAGAATACAAACTTCAGTAAAATCTTTATAAGACTTTACCACTAACTGTAGGTTGTAGATCTCCCAAACTTCTGATCACAGATAGAAACACTGACTGTGCTCTGGACAGTTTTCAGTATATTATATTTGTCTGTTTCCCATTGGAACTGGAAAGAGATATTTAACTCCTCTTGGACTTACAAAGGTGGGAATTCCTAAGTAGAAATATTATTTCCTCCTTTCTCTAAAAGGGACAGTACAGATTGCAAAAACTAATGATAATGATAATAATAATAATAATAATAATCCTGTTTCAATATAGATAATATTTCTGAGGTTCATGGCAGGGATATGGAAAAGGGGAGCAAACCCAGAAACTTAAGAGACCATGATAAACCATCCTTGGAAACAAAACAGATGGCTTAATTGCATTCCTTCTCTTTAGGAGTTCCCAGAGCTGGAAAAACTTCCTTTCCTCTGCCTAGAGAGGCAGCTGAGCAATTGAGCTTGAACCTCTGATAGCTCTAGCGATTTATTCAAGTTTGACGAACTGGGTTCTTTAAATACATAGTGCAGGTGGTGGATCCCCAGGTGTCCAGCTTTCCTGCCTATTAAATTAAATGTCGGTCCTGCACTTGCCGAGGTTAGAGTGTGAATGATAGAGTGCACACTTAGTGCATACTCATTATCTGTTTCCTTGGCACAAAGATTTTGGGGGTGGGGTGTGCATCAAAGCTCTTCCTCCTGTAATAGGGGCAGCCATTGATCTTGTGGTTGACTACATCGGGCCATAACTCTTAGGCCAAAACTCCCCATTTGGCTAAACCAGTGCCCATTGGTTGCAACACACCCCAAATGAAACCTTCTGCCTAAGGCAGTGCAGAAAGCTAGGTATTGTGGGGAGCTGGGCATACTGCAAATCCAAGGCAGCTGCATTCAGAGATGAGTCGCTGTCACTGTGCGCTGTGGCTGGGAGCTCTATCCCTGGAAGCTGAGCTCCCAGTGTATACTATTGGAACCGGGGCCCTTTTGGGCAAAAGCCCAGGCTGAGATTAAGCAGGCATAGAACACGAAGCTAGATAGGATGAGAAGGGAACTTTGTGAGAGAAGGGAAAGGAATCTAGCAGGGCTTGCGCATGAGAGCTCTGCTAACTTTTGGGATGGTTGGAGTGACGATGGTTCCACACTGATCAGCATTTCCTCCTGCCCTCCCGTGCCCAGAGCAGACACACTTGGGGTTTTGATTGCATTTTCGAATTTTTATCCTTTCCCACCTCACCTCCCCGTCCTCAGATCCTGGTACTCACAATTTGTCGCTGTTAATCCTAAATGCCACAAACCAGAGAACAGCAAAGTCAAAACGCTGGTCAGCCCTGGTACAGAATCCATTTCCCCCGAGTGAGTGGTCCCTTCCAATCGAATTCCAAATTCGCAGGCACCAGCCGCGGCTTGTCTCTCTTGTCCGCACCTTCTGACCCCCTCCCACCCCCCCTTGGAGAGGTACTCTCTTTCACTCCATCCCGCGCCCAGACGCTCCACCGAAACCGTGGGGAGGGCTTCTTCGCAGCTGCGGCTGAGGCTACAGTCCCCGAAAGAGCTGCTTGCTGTACTCTCCTTCCTCCGCTCGCCTTTTCCTCCTCTTCCCCCCTCCTTAAAGGTGCAAATCCAAACCCAATTGCAAAGACAGGCGCCTAGCTCGGTGGACAGCTAAATCTACCTCGCCAAGCTCCAGAGCAGGAATCAGCACCGGGGTGGCGGACAGCTCCTTATAGGCAAGCGGGCCGCGCGGCACCGCCCCCGGCCAGGCCCGCCCTGCGCTCGCCTATAAGAGCGGCCTGGGCGGGTCTTAGCCCCGCTCCAGCGAGTTTCCTCCAGCAGGCGCGCCGCTGCGGTGCGCTTTGGCTACCTGGGAGGGCAAGGGAAAGGAGTCTTAATCTCTCTCTCTCTCTCTTTCTCTTCCTCCCCACCCAGTTTCCTCTCTCCCTCCTTACCTTCCCCCTTCCCTTTGCCTTTCTCTATCCCCCATCTAGGGGATGAATAGAGACTGAAATTTAAACAAGGTTTTCGAAGAATGCTGCTGAAGGGATACTAAAAGGAGTTGAAGGACAGACGCATTAGGAAGAGAGAATTTCCCATGGAAAGCTTTGTAATGACCTAACGAGATGCCTTTTTTCCTCCCTTTGGAAAGGAGGAGCAAGTAGAGCTTTGAACTGTGAGATTTAATTTCCCTTGCGTTCGTTCTCTGGTAGGAAGGCTGATGGATATTGATATTATTGGATCTGATTTAGAGGTTTAGCATTATGTCCAATCTCCTGTTTTACCGACCCCGCACCCTATTCCCATCGCTCATCTTTTCACCGGCCTTCCACGTCCGCGTCTCCCTCATCGATGTTGGCACATTGCTTCGGGCAAGTACTGCAGGGTGCGCGGTGCTTTGGGTTCCGGAGCCTAGGTGTTTCGCTGGCGCCTGGGAGAGATGGAGAGTCTCTACTAACGGGTGTGGTGGTAATGAGAGTCAGGGTGGAAGCCCAGGTTGGTGCTTTGGAAATCTGAGGTCTCCGCTGGAGGAATTTACATTTAAAAAGAGGGAACCAGTGGTTTTGATTTCTTCCTAGAGGCTCCCTGTAAGAATTCCAGTTTCTGTCTCTGACTTCTAGTATGTGTCTGGGGACTCTCTTGCTTTGCCATGAATCAACTTATTTTGTTTTTATTGGAAGCTGTCAGAAAGCTGTCAAACCTTAACAAAATGAGGGACCATAATGATTTCTCCTATGTGAAGCTTACAATCAAGTTGATAGAGTTGTTAGACTCTACCCACTTCAGAGGAAGTTGATGTCTCCCTCTCTTCTCACCCACAGCGTTAACAATTATGCAGACTTATTTTACACTATGGATTCCTGACAACCCTTAGTCTTCCGCAGCCGGCTGCACAATTGCAGCAAATTGAGCTGTGTTTTGGCAGCTTTTGCATAAATCCTGAGGTTAACCTTGTGGTTTTGGTTAGAACTGGTCTCACATCATTGGAATACTAAAAGATAGTTCAATGACAACTGGCTCAGTGACCTCATTATTTTATTAAAGGAAGAATCCTGCAGGTCTTGTCAGTCCTAAGTAAAAGACCCTCTCCTCTCTAAGCTTCTCACTGGAAATAATTATGTAAGTCAGTAGATATTTTTCCCCCAGCAGAAGCTGTAATTGTGGGCAAAAGGCCACACCCAGGAGATGATGAATTCCAAAACATCAAAACTAAGGTGACCCAAGGAGCTATCCTGTTGGCAGGGGACTGCAGATAGGGGGAGTGACAGTCAAAGGGGGGTTGCTTGTGCTTGGCTTTCCTTTTCACCTTGGGCCCCCAGAAGCTGTGACCCTATCCCTGACTATAGATGACACTATCTTGCTATTAAACTGGAAAATCTAGAGTATATATATTAATATACTCTAGATTATATATATAATATATATATATATTTCATTTTGTGTGTTCCAAACGTATGCCAAAGAAATTTTATTAAGAAATAAAATACAATTTAAGGCCTTTCTGAATTATTTATTTAGATTTATTTATTTGTTTGTTTGTTTGTTTATTTATTTTTTTTATATGTGGTGCTGAGTATTGAACCCAGTGCCTCATGCATGCTAGGCAAGTGTTCTGCCACTGAGCTACAACCCCAGTCCCCCTTTCTGAATTCTTGCTTCATAAATATTTATCTTCCATCATATATTCTAGTAAACTTTTCTTTGGGTATATATCATTCTTATAGTTAACATTTTCCTACGTTTGTCAGATACATCTCTAAGCACTAATTAGCTTTGCTTTTTCTTTAAATGGTATAACACTCTTATTTTGTACTTCACAATTTATTTAATATTATATTGTTGAAATTCACATATTTGACTACATTAAGTCCTCTTTCATCTTTACTGCTGTATTGTATTTCTTTGTATTAATATTTCAAAGACTATTCATTAATTCTTTTATTTATTATCTATACATTGTTTCCATTTTTTTCCTCAATAAAACTATCATTTTGTAACTGTCTATTAGTTTCTCTCACACACTAGGAGTAGAATTTCTGGATCACAAGAAATTTTTTTCTTCAGTTTTACTACACATTGCCAGTCATTCTATAAAACGGCAATACTAACTCATAGCTCTCCTTCCTTTGCTAGCAGTGTTTGAGATTTCCTGTAGGTCCATATCCTAACCTATCACTTCAAGCCTTACCATTTTACTAATAGGAAATTGAGAATCACAGAACACACATATTCAGTCATGGAGTTTATGTCCCTCCATATAATCAAAGCTTTTACATATCTTAAAAAAACTGGTTAAATAAAATCTTTTAATGCTTATAAAAGATTTATGTCTTTATTTTTGGCAAAATGACTTAAAATGAATCCACTGTGCCAGTAACATATATTTGGAATATATATTAAAAGGAAATCAGGAAAATTTGTTACTTTGAAGTCCCCAACTGTGAATGATCCTCAAGTTATTAGTAAATATTGGAATTCTGCATTGAGATGTCCATATGTGGGCCCCGTATAGAGTATATAAATTGAAGCTAATTTAAAATCCTATTTACAGTTGTAGTTTGCGTTTTTCTCTCTCTCTCTCTCCAACACACCTGTTCTCAGAGCAACTTTGAGCCTTAAACAGCAGACATTTGTCTAAGATTTGTTAACATTTCAGTAAGAATACTGCAGCTCTCAATATAGTGAAGGGTAAACAGCTGTTCCACTCAGACAATAGTGTAAACAATGCCATCTTCTGGGGGCATTTTGGCAACAAGGTTTTGTTTTTTTTATCATCAGTTGAATATTAATCTCTATTAAAACTGTCTTCAGCCATATTGATATTTACCTATTGAAATTCTTTTTTCAGGCGTTTAGTCTGACACATCCAACTTTCACATGGTGGAGTAAGAGTTGAATAACATCTACTCATGTTGATGCATTTAGAATAACTCACATTTCAGAGTGGTTGAAATTTTCCACACAGATAGATAGAGTAGGTTGAATACTAAAAGGGAATGGAAAATGGATAATTAAAACCCCAAAATACCTGCTTTTTAAAAAGTAATTATAGACATCTTCCCAAGCAAACCTTTGATCTGAAATCTAAAAAAAAAAAAAAAAAAAAAAAAAGAAAGAAAGAAAGAAATGAAATGGGTATGAGTGTATTTCAGTGTCTCTTTGATTTTCCCTTGAGCACTTGCACTGCTTTACTCTTAAAGGAACAGAAGGAAAAGAATCATTCATCAAATGAAGTCTCAGCCTTAGAATATTCAACAAGTGGCTCATCTCATTGATTTTGCAATCCTCTTGTGAGGCAGATAGAAGTATATTTGGTCATCTCCATTTTATTGATGGAATCCTAAGAGGAGACAGATATTGACACGTTAAATATCATGCAGAATTAATGGCTTCAACCCAAAGGGTGCTAAAAATGAAAACCTCCCATCCCATCTCCTTTATCCTTATAAAACTTATAGCTGAAAGTCACTACAACATATGAATACTTGGGTGCATGGAAGAAAGGTTCATTTACCATCAAAGTAATTCAAAATAATTTGTTTCTACCCATACCTTCAATTTAGAGTTTTCTAAAAATTTTGATGTGGCAAAAGTTAATTTATTTTTCTTTTTATCTTATTTTCTTTGTATTTCCTTTCTTTCTTCCTTTTTTATGTTTTTTCTTTCTTTTAGTATGTGTGGTCAGTAATATGCTACAGGGGATAGAAAATAGGAAAAAAATCTTGCTCTCATAGAGCTAAACATAATATGAGGAAATGAGATGTAAATACATTAAAACTTAATATTAGAATAAAAATTAGCATGTGATTAAGCACCAGATTTCCTAAATTATAAGTATTCTAGAAGTTTTTAAGCTGACAAAGACTGATTCTCCTGGGTGGGGAGGAGTTACAGATGGCATAATGAATCAGTTCTGTGTCTCTTGGGAGTAAAGGGAACTGAGACACTCTGGGCCTTGCACTTGTTATTCAGGCCAAGTCAAGTCAGGTGTATTTACCATAACAAGAAAGTCAAGTCTGAAGATAATGAAGACAGAATTCTATTTTTTGCAGAAGAATGGACATTCATAGTAATGCCCATGGATTAAGCCATATGTTGAGAAAAATTTTCTATAATCTCTTCATTACTTCTCTTTCTTAGATCTGAGTCAAACTCAAGCTTGTCATCACAACACTCATCCTTAACATCAAAAATAGTCATCTTCTGTCATCCAACTCCTGCCAATAAAACAGCCACTTAAATACCTTTGCCTGGCATGCACGCTGCATGCTGTTTACACATAATGCTCTTTCCTTTTCCCAGGTGAATGTCCAGTAGTGAATTTTCAAGTTCAAAGTCAACTGGAACATCTCTGGTAAGGTCTCTATGGATTGTGTGGGTGATGCTAACACACATTAATGTTTCCCTAACCCGGAGTAGTTTCTCAAAAGTAGTTTCTTGATAAGCTTCTCATTTTGAGTCTTCAGTATAGGTTTTCAACAAGTGTTGATGTATGAATAATGTTACATATTAATGACTTTGTCAGCTCTTTCAGAAGTCACATCTATTTCCTACCAGTCCTTGTGCCAGAATGCCTGGGCTCCTTGGTGGAAATTTATCTTCATTTACTTTGGAAATTAACATGCCAAACATGAAAAAATCAGTGGAAATTATGTTTTGGGTTGTATTCTTGATAGCTTTCTCTTCCAACTATATATGTCTCAAGTATGTGGATTTATTTTTTAGGGAGAGTTCACTTTCCAAAGCAT